ATTAGAACCTGGGCAGCACCATTTCCTTTTTCATCTAAACGTTTTTATTCAAGTTTCAACTTGTTGGCGGTCATTGAGGAGCTCAAGGTCTCTACATTGGGAATATTTTTTTAATTGTTCGCATTTGATTTCAGTGAAAATGCGAACAGTTCCTCTTAGTGAGTATATTCTATTCATACGTCAGTGTAGCGTTCATATACATACATACACCAGCCATAAGCTCCATGTCTGTGACAGTTCTTTAGATTCCAGCTCCGTCTACTCATTAGTAGTTGACTTGTTGCTTAAGCTTAATTGCTTAAGCTCTCGAGTAGGATAATATCACTGTTGTATTCAGTTTATATTTGTCTTATGTTTTTTTTTAAATGAAAGGGTTGTGGTTTGTTTCAATCACTGAAGGCGGAAGGAGGGTTCGGGTTAGTTTTTTCATGCAAAATTAGTTACAAAACGCGGCAGAGTTGGAACCGAGCCTGAATTTGCAACCGGAACCGATTCATGGCATGTCCCAGCCCGGTTGGAAAACAAACATTTCAGGCCCGACCTTTTCCCGTTCTTAATGAAAACACGAACTTCCTAAGGTGTTAACGGAAGTGTGAAAGGTGTGAAATCTTCTAAAAGTCAGGCCTGGGCTCAGCCCGGCCCAGTTGCTGATCCTAATTTTGAGGCTCGGCCCGGCCCGTAAAAAAACCGGGCCCGGTTCCTACTGTGGTCGTCGGAGATCGACTGATACATTAACAAGCTATTTGAGTCTTTATTTGGACTGCGGGGTCTTCTGTTTCATGCGCCCCAAAATTCATGGTTTGAGTATTTTAATAAATTCACCATGATGTTCGAATCTGATTGGTTGAAATTGATTAATACTATAAGAAATCTATAGCCTATTTTCCAGCTGTTCATTCAAATTTTTGGTAATTTTGGGCCGCATAACCGGGTGTTACCACAGGACTGCTGTAATAACGAGTTTTCTCGGCTCCAAATATATATATTTTAATTTTCATAATATATCAATCTAATAATTTGACTTCGAAAAGAATTTAAAATATATTTTTGCATGCTTAAATCATTTAGTAATTTTTTTATTACTCAGGCGCTTATCAAATTGGATCATTTACATTGTTCAGGCTTACAAATTGTCTAACAGAGTCTCTATTTTTTCATAGCTTGAATTATAATTAATTCAAGTTCCGCTTTTCTTCTGCGCATTTTCCGGTAAGTGCATGTCTATGATGATGGCGTCCTTAATAATAAAGGGACGTAATGATGGAAAACAAATTTCATCTAATCAGTTTGAGTATTTAGAAATCTCAACGAAAAGGAGAAAAACTCAAGTTAAGCAACTAAATTCAGGTCGCTCAATTTAAAATTGACTGATTGCGAAATGAGCAGACAATTGAATTGTCAAATGTTGTCAGATCTGAGCCTCATTGGAACTAACTTAAGCTTAAAAGTTACTTATTGTTGAAAAAATTAAAAAAGTCGATGTGTGCACGAATTGTACAGAAAACATGGCTGTACTGCTAAAATTCACTTTCTGCTAAATTTTGGGAACTGAAAATTTTCAACTTGAAAAAAAATAGTTTGCCGTCAATATCATAAAAGGAGTTATACATGTTCTTTCGATCTTTCTCTTGTTTTTGCAATCATGCTCGTTTTCTACCTGTATGTATCTAATTTTTATGTTCCGTTTTTATGAAATCTTTTTACAAAATCTTCAACAGATCAATTTATTTTAACAGTTTTCTGTATAGAAATAATTTTTTAAACTCAAATCAACCTAGTTTTTAACATTTAATAGCTTGCGATGTATCCGCTTTTTTAAAGCGAATACATTGCTGCTTGAAAATCACTAATCAAATACCTATAACTGTTTAAGTGATCTATTTAACTGTTCGCCAATAAGCAGACAATAAATTGATAGCTATCGCAATGTCCTAAGCAAATTTTAAATTTATTATTTCATGTCTTTTAATTCCGAACTTTGACATTAAAACACATCCATTGAAAATTGTATTCTTATGTTTTAGTATTTTTTCACTTAAAATCAGTTAACACAAATAATCATCAGATTGGTTCCATTGATATATCATTATAAATCCCTTTCAATTGTGATTCAAGCGACTATTCAAAAGTTTCGGAAAATTGTCCCAGTATCGACAAAAATCGATTTCAATTTTTTGAGTTTTAGCTCAGCTTCCAGCGAGTTAAGCAGATGAGCAAGCTTATAAAGCAACCGAGCGAGAAGAATAAGCTGTGAAAATTTCAGTTAAGCCCTGAAATTTTCGTTTTATTCCAGTAAAGTTTGTTTTAGAAATTTTTTCGGACGCAATTTTGAATATAAAAAATTGAACAATTTCTTGGATGTTTCAAAAAATTCGAAGAAACTTTTAGATTTAAAAAAAAGTCGGCAAAAAACGGCTGCCAATTTTGCCTGTTTTGCTATGACTGTCGATTATCTTTAAATTTTAGGCTTTCGTTCAATAGTTTTTATCACACCACGCTTAAAAAAGGACACTAATTTACAAAAAATTGAGAACATGATTGGATTATTCTGTGCAACTTGCACAGCAACCGACATCCTTGTTATTATTTGAGTTCACTGTAATTAACGTGTTCCGCTTTTTTTCAAATTTGGCTGAGAATCGACTGTTCAAAAGCAATTTTAAACCGAGCACAAAGTCGAAACATACCCACTTTTGGTCGAGAAAGATGAAACGCAAGTCGAGCAGAGTCGAAGCATACCTGATTTTAGTGGAAGAGCACAGGTTGCGCACAGTCGAAATGTAAGTCAAACACATCTTGTCATTTGTAGGGTTATCAACTTGTCTTCACAGTGTTTTAAAAAAGCTAGCAAAGCTAATCAATATGTTCAAGCTAAATAAAAGGTCGACAACACTTATGGTACAAAACTTCATTCTACATAAATTGTCGAAAAAAAACAACACCCTTCAAAATTCCTGGCAATGCCACTGATATTGAGCAAATTTATTGAAAAATAGTTTTTGGTCGAGAGGTTTAAAACATAGTGATTTTTGTTCGGATAAGTCGGATCATATCTTTAGCCTGTTCTGCCAAACTTAATGAATATTTTGCCGCTCGAGAAACATCACTTTTTGGTCGAGAAAAAAGAAACTTATCTGAACTGGTCGAGAAAGTGGGAAAATGCTGAATTCTAAAAAGAATTTTGATCGAGACGGTCGAAACATAAGTCGAGCAACTCGTGACCTCGTGTGGTCTCGTGTTAATTGTTGAATGCTAACAAGCTCAGCTTCGCTTCTATGTTTAAGGGAAAGGTTTGTTACAACAGTTGGATGTAAATGAAGCCCAAAAACGAGACAGAAATCATGCGCTGCGCTGATATATTCGGTTTCAAACGAAATTGAGTCATGATCCAAAAATTCAAAACTGAGTCATGTTCCATTGGGCCATGATCCATTTTTCCGATTAAATTGCTGAGTTAATTTTGCTTTCCAAATTAAAAAGATATCCTTAGAGTTCCTAAATATAGCCCTGGTTTTACTATTCAGAAGATATTGATTACTTCGGCAAGCAAATTCGGGTATTGCCTGCCATTTAAATCGATAACTTTGAAATCTCCATTCATAAGTAATTCTTTTTTCATTACTTTATTATCTTTTCTCTCTTTTCAGTCCCAGTAAAGATGATGAGAATTTTAAAAAGTTCAAACTGAATTGCACTTACAGGAGCAGTACGTATCATACAAAGATATTTTTCTTTATTTCAAAATAGCGTCTCTTTCTGGCAGTTTTTGAAAGTTTTTAATTATAGGATACTTCTCACCCAGTCGAGTAAAATTTTCACAGGCTTACTGATTTTTTCAACATCCGTGTCATCTATATGACTCAACACTTCTTGTGCTCTTTCCTTTGCGCTGTCGCTCAAATTATCGCTCTGAAAGTTTTCCATTCTAACCGTCAAGGAGTCTTTGTAGAGACTTCGACTAAGCAATCCACTGACTACGTCCCAATCGTCTAGACATAACGGAGATTCGCCTAACACTATAAAGGTCGCTTTCAAAACAGCCTTGACCACTGATCCCGGTTTTCGATACGATTTAAGCTCTCGAGCCAAGTTGCGATTGAAGGATTTGTGTCTAAAGGGTTCCTGAGCTATCGGATCTTTACCTATTGGGTCTACGAAAATAGAGCCTCTGGATTTATTCATTGGAGGTGTATTTGGCTGATAAAGATTTCTTTTTGTAGTCGCTCTGTTTAATTTAACTATCAATGGACCATTTTTCTTTTCCTCATTTTCCTTTCCTGTTTTTTCTTTGTTCACCTTTTGATCTCTTTCTTCACTTTGATCATCTGCAATTCTATTAGCAGTTTCATCGACTGATTCTGATGTTTTCAGATTGATCGGCTCAGCAGTTTTTTCTGGCTTTGATTTCGTGTCATCTTCGTTTTCGATGTTGAGTCGCTTCATCTCTCGTCTAAACCGACTAAGGACTCCTAGTGGCCGCTTAAGTTCCTCGGGTTTTTCCCTTAGATCCACATTCAAATACTTTGGATCCTGAAACCGTTTTGAACGCCTATCTTTGCCGTATATTTTTGGATCTTGAGTTTTCACCAATTTGCTAGCTTTCCGCGGCTTTGGTTGTTCGCGAATGTTGAAATCAATAATCTTGGCAGTTTCAAATTCGGGAATTTCAGTGACTTCTATACTTTCGGATGTTCCGCTTTCTAATTGCCAAGGTGTTCTAAAGCTTTTCGTGAACATTCCCTTTTGCATTGTTTCTTCCAAAGATACGGCTATAGGAAGCTCCAATGATTTGTCTTCTATGATTTCGGTATCCTTTTCCATTGAGAAGTTTTCAAGTTCAACTGTTAGAAGCGCTTGACTGGTTGGTTTCAAAGATCCATTTTGTTCCGATCCCTCAATTTCGATGGCCTTGTCGAAAGTATCTACGAGCTCTTCCAGTTCTAGTATATTTTCTTCTTTGAAGTCGAGTAGTGCTTGTGATTCCGTTACTGGTCTTCCGATATTCGCTGGAGTTCCTCGAATGGTAGCTGTGTGAAAAGTTCTCCTAGGAATACTTTTAGCAAATAAAATTTTCTCCGACGAGTCACTTTCATGTCTGCGCTGGTCAAAAGTGTTTTCCAAATCTATCAATTTATCCTTATCGATTTCGTATATTTTTGCGTCATCGTTTTCAGCGCTGTCAATCATCAGAGGAGTTCCAGATCTTTCTGATTCTTTCGGTTTGCCAAAATTACTCTCGAATGTTCCCATCTGAAAAACTCCACTTTCTTGGCTCGAACTCCAGTTCTCTGAGGCTTCCGCATCCGGAGCAGCTTTCTTCTTTTTCGTGTTTGTTTTCAGCTTTGTCTGTATGTGACTGTCCTGTTTAGATCGCCGTGATGTTTCAGCCTGGTAGAGTTCTCTTCTGCTATCTGCGTAATCGGCTAATCTAGCGCTGCTCTCCAATGTTTTCGGCTTAGTGGATACACTGACAAAACTTCTGTGAGTTGTTTTGCCATTACTTTTGATTTTTTCATTTTCACTGTAAGTTTTCACGATGTCTTCTAGAACTTTGTCGTCTTCTTCTATCGTGGATCTTCGCCTGTTGTTTCTATTGTTGGTGTCCTTTTCGTTTGTTGGCAGTAGTAATGATGGCATGTGTGGCACAGGTGTTTTATGATCTTCACTCTCAACTGATTTTTCTCCCATTTTGCTTTTTTCGTCTTCATCGACTTTTGTTTCATATAGATTTGGATATTCGCTCTCGCTTTCCTGCTGTTTGTCCTCAGATGCTCGATTGTCATTTTGCTCATCAATTTCTTCATTTTCTACTGTTGTCACAACTGTGTCGCCATCAATCCGTTTTTCTTTGGTTTTTAAAAGCTCCTCCGTGTTTTCGTTTATATCGTGATCTAAGTTTTGAGCTTCCTGATTCAAAATACTTTCTTCTGAAAAGACGGATTTTTCAGACTTATTTTCTTCTTCTTGCTGATTAACTGTATTCTGCGCTGATGTTTCTGGCTGCCGCTGTGCCATGTTTTCGTGTGCTTTATCATTCATCTCTGAAAGTGGCGCTTGAACGTTTTCACTTGGCCGATCAGTTTCCGCTGGTTTTTCAACCGGAGTCTGGGACCTCGCCTCTGAATGTTTAATATCTTTACTATTGTTAGATAAGTCTGCTTGCGTATGTTCCCTACTTTTTCCCAAAACGGGAGTTGCAATTTTCAGATCTTCGACTGCTTCGGTGTTTTGGACCGGTGTTTTGGACTGCACCCGTGAAACAGTTTCAACTCGAACTGCTTCGGGGTTTTGACTCCCTTTTGGTGAAATTGACTCTTCGGAGCTCTTTGTTGGAGTTCCAATCGACTTCTCTGATTCTTTGCGAGACAAGGTCTTTATTGACGATTTGCGACTGGTTTTTGTAGGTGTCGAGATCTTTGATTGGCTACTTTGCTTGTTTAAATCAGGTGCCCTTTTTGAAGCTGATGGCGTTACAGTTGCTTGTTTGGTGGATTTATCACTGATGATGCTCTTGTAGCTCGAAACTGAAGCTCCGCCTACTGATTTTCTGCTGTTTCTTCTTCTGAGTTTGCTGGATTCTTGTGACGGAGGTGTTGGCACTATCTTGCCCTCTGCTCCTCCACAGTTGGTCGATTTCTCATTGTGTTGTAATTTTTTCTGTTGGTTTGTTCGGTTTGTTTGTTGCTGCTTTTGCTCTATGCTATCAGTTGTTTTGGTTTGAGTTGAAGCTGGCGCATTGTTTTCATCTGCAACAAAATTACTTTTTAATTCTGGTGGTGTAATAGCTTTATCTGCATTGTGAGTTGAAGTTTCTTGTTTTTTAGAGCTTTCAGACTTATTTAATTGTTCTATCAAATCGCTTTTAGCAGAAGCATTACTCGTCTTATGACTTAGCACGTGGTCATTGTTTTTTGCGCTCGATTTATTCGATATTTGTTCATTACTTTGTGACGAGCGCTGTGACGCTTCTGATACGACAGGCGAAGGCAGTCTAACAGGCGTTTCAGACGATACATAGCTGATTTGCAACTCGGTTGCTGCATAGTTAAATTCTTCGCTGATGGTGTTCTCAATTACATCTGCTGTTTTAAAATTGCCTTCATCAGCTTCTAATTTTTCACATGCTTGAAAGTCCCATTTCTCGACATTTTTGCCAGTTACTGGGGAAATAGATCTGAAGTTGTAATAGGACATTGGTAATGGGGTCTGTGACCTTTCTTCGATTACCAAGATGTCTGCTTCATCGTTAACTTTTTGATCTTCTTGAAATGTGTTGGTTGCTTGTTCCCTTTTTGACTGGTGTATCTCGAGATCTCCCGTCTCTGCTATTACCCATGCATCGACGAGACTGTCTTGTTTAGGAGATACTGCTCTCTTTTGATCATCTACTTTCTCAATAGGCTCTTCAATCGTAACAACTTCTTCACTTGCTGTGTTTGGTGAACTAGGTTGAGGTGTGAGTTCCATGGTAGCCTTCTGGTCGCCTTCATTGTTTTCCAGGTTCATCTCTTCCGTTTCCTCGGAGGTGTATTCAATTTCATTTCCTAATTGAACGTAACTGCTGGTGTAAACGCGAGGAGCTAATTTTGTTAAGTTGGGCTTATTATCATTCTCATTTGACTGAATATTTTGACCTGAGTGAAAAAATTCGATATTCGATGATGTGACCAAGAATTGCTCCATGGAAGCTTTCGATTTTTTGGTTCCAGCGGAAATATTTGATTTTTTAGATTTCAGACTGTCAGAAATTGACTGACGCTTACTGTCTGTTTTTAACGTAGCTGAGTTTTGTTCACTTTCGAGTATACTTTCAGGTGCATGGGAATCTTCATAGTTGACGTTTTTTATAATCTTCGGAGTTTCATTGATCGTATCCGGCAGCTGGGACTCGAAATAGTTTTTGAGTTTGTCATTTGAAGATTTTAAAGTCAATTCGTCGGTTTTATCTTCTTCGTCTTTCAGAGACTCACTCGCTACCTGTGCACTCAGTGCTTTCGAATCGATTGAATCTCTTCTGGAATCTAGTGGTGCACTGTTTCCGTTGTCTGAGACTTTTTGATCACTTATTTCTATTGAATGTTTGTTGCTGGCAACTGAATACGATGTTCGAGATTGGACCTCTGCTGTGAAATCACGATCATCTACGGTATCATTCGAATGATTGCTTTCAGTATTTTCAGTCGAGTTGCGGTAGCCGTTTATCGAAACGGATTTGTTTGATTGTATCTCTGATTCAAAACTAGATCTATGATCTTCTTCGGCTTCGGAAACAGATTTTTTGGATTGTACCTCCTCCATATCTATAGCAGAAATGTTCTTTTCTGTTACCACTGATTTTTCTGATTTTTCAGAAATATCCAACTGATTTTTTTGGCTCTCCTGTCTTTGGGTATTAATAGATTCTTCATCAAACTGAGCTGGTTGATCATCATACATAGGTTTGCTATCAAATATTTCTATCGACATCTCGGAAGTTTTTTCACTATTTGTCCCAACGGTCCTTTTTGCTTCTGATTGAGAACTGGTTGGATCTTCTCTAGGTTCTGATACGTCAACAACTTCTATTGTAGCTGTGTTTGGTCTACTGGGCATTGGTGTTATGTCCAGAGTCGCTCTCTGGACACCAACATCAACGCCCACGGTCAAATCCTCTGTCTTGTGAAAACTTTCTTCGCTTTCGCTCTCAAATTTCACTTCGGAACTTGCGTGAAATTGAACTTGAGACTCTGGTTCACCAACCTCAGAAACAGTTCCTGATACAGTTGATAGTTTTTTGGGTGTTTCGATTTCTTTCGAGTCAATTTCTGGCTCATTCGGAATTTTTTCATTAGTTTTTGCCGCCAACTCAAAGTTTGTCAAATTACTTGAGACGTTTTCCTCTTCTTTGTGGGAGGATAAACTGTCTATCTCTTGATTTGAATTGACCTCATTCGAATATGCTGATTCTTCAATGAACGGAGGAGTCTCTAGTTTTATTGAAGCCTCTGACTCATTTTTGTTTTCATACGACAAGTCAGCAGACGGTGTTTTCCTTGCCGCAGCTTCAAGGTTTTGAGTGCCGATTGCTTCACTTTCAATCGTTATTGTAGATGTGGCCTTGGCCTTTTCATCTTCAGTTGATGTTGCCAGTTCGAAGAAAAACACTCCGGCATTCTTGCTTTTGTCGTCATCGCCCATTTTCGAAATTGCCATGTAACGATCCTCTCCACCATAGCCTTCGCGTTTCTCGTCATCGGGTAGATCTAGTTGTTCGTTTGAATTTTGAATGGATGCTTCTAGAATATTCTCGACGTCAACAGAGTCCACATGTTTTTGGAGGCAGTTCAAAATGTTTCCCTGGAATGGCAATTCACTGTCGGGTACAAAGGTCACGACAAAAGAGGGAATGACAAAAGCGATCGCGGTTTTGGCTACAGCTTCAAACGTGGCCTCTTTCGAGAGCGCGTCACCAGGAGTGGATTGAACTGTTACCAAATAGTTGACTAGATTCGACCATTTAAGCGAAATTGGGATGAAATAATCTATGCTGAGGGCAAACTCGCCAGCATGTGGGAACTCTACTTTTGCCAGAAGCACGTTTTTCTCTTCCGTTTTCAATTGCTCATGATGCCTGTGCCCTTTTTTGCTACGAAATGGTCTTGTTTTCTGCAAATGACAGAGATTCCCAGCAATAGGTCTAATTTCCTCCCACTTTTCATTGTAGTAATACGCACAAATTTTGTACTCCATGTCAATTAGCGACTGTATCTCACAGATTAACGGTAGTTCTAACACCCCGTTTTCACACATGATTCGCCCAAATTTTGATGCTCCTTCCAGGGCGAAGTTTTTGGCAACTTGTGGCAAAATTGGCCCAAAACCAGTGCAAGATAAAATAGGCAAATGGGGTTTAGGCTTTGATGAACTGGTTTGCCCCTCGTTTTCCCAGATGACTTTGCAACATGCAGCTTCGCGAGGCTTTACCAGAAAAGGGGATTCGAGTAGAATTGGCGCCGCATCTAGACTCAACCTGTACTCCCCAGGAGACGGTAGTCGGGCAAAAACAGTGACTTCGGCAATTTTGTCTCTTTGGTCTATTTTAGTGATGTAACAGGTGTCTCCTGTATTGTGCCATTTGGTCATGTTCCAATGAGCCAAAACAACGTTGAAATGCAGCAGTCGAGAAACCGAGTAAGCAAATGTCAGTTCAACCTCCCCGTCCTGAGTGGTCACAATTGGATCCCCGCTGGAACCTTTCAGAGACAAATAAAGACTGGAAAATATGTCTCTGACTACCGGAAGCTTCTCGAATTGTCTCAGGCCTATTGGGTAAACTGTCAACTGATGTTCAGGGTTAAGTGGATAGTGGGTTTTGATCATGTCGAATGGCGCTGGACTGAAGTAGGCGTCTTCTATTAAGTGATGCTGGTCAGTATGAAGTGCGCCGGTCTTAGCTTTGGTTTTAGCTGGCGATGAGTTAGGCCGATCAAATTCGTCCGAGATGAAACGAGACACATTCAAATCTTCAGCTTCGAACGAAGTTCTGTTTCTCAGTTTCATCGACTCTCGTTTGCGTTTGATTGACACCACAGATTTGGAACTTGCTGCACTTTTAGCCCTGTTATCGAAATCATTCGAGGAAAGACTGAAACTTCTCTGGGAAGTTCTTCGACTTTCAGTGTAAGAAAATCCATGATAGTTTTCGGCGTCCGTCGCCACGTCAAAAAGATGCCAATCTGAGTGGCCTTCCGAGTCACTGACGAATGCAACGTTCCAGATGTGTTTTGATCTGTCAACTTCATCGCCTGGCTCAAACATCAGGTCTTTGATATAGCCTTCGACACGTATGCTGGGAATTTTCAGGAATCGAAGCATGATTTCGAATATGAGTGAGTAAAAGGAAGTGGACCCGTTAGCGATGTGATAGAAGAAGAGGAGAGGGCAGATTGATGAGGGCTTCAGGCTAGATGTTGTGTCTGAGATCAGATCAAGGTCTTGTATTTTGATCCAGTGGTATATAGCCCGGATTTTCTGAACTTGCACTGGACATTTCTTAGTGATCTATAAATAAGAAACTCAATCAGTGAATGATAATAATTACTGCTTTCTCATTTTTTGTTCTTTTTTCTTGAGTGTTTCCGAAAAGATTTTGATTGTTTTCACATGCCAACTTAACTAAAAGAAAAAAAACTTCCTAGCAGATATTTGTTTGGTAATTAGGGAATATCAAATTATAAATACTTTTTGAAGAAATATTAAAAAGAAATATTTAAAAGCCTTTTTTGATATAGCCTATGAATGAGTAAGTACTGAACTCTTTCATTGAGCGTTAAAATCGTATACCGTTAAATCGCTTTTTATCGAATCTCATTGGTTTCGCAGCTGCTGCATTAAACGTTCGGGGTCAAATGAAAAATATGTGCAAATTTTTGATTAAATGTCAATAAAGCAAGTGAAGACGCTCATTTTGTTCTAGTGGTTTTTAGTGTTATTTTTTCTGCAAAAAGTTGTTCACGCTCAAAGTGGTTGTCCATCTCAAATTAATTTGCTAAATTAAATTCAAACAAGAATAGCCAATTTATGTGCAAGGAGCATAAAATTTTCCGACGATTCATAAAAAATTTTTAAAAAAGGTAACCATTCGTGAAAAACTTTTAAAAAAATTTTGTTTCCTTTTTTCAAACAACAGCCGTATTCTGTGCGTGTTTCCACAAGAGAACTAACCGAACGCGTATACATATACACTTAGTAAATAGGTCATAACTGACAACAGTTGTCTTTAAAAGATAAACAAAAAATGAAAGAAGAATTTAAAAATAATTTAAAACACTTTTTTGCAGAACAATTTTTTTTCGAATTTATTGCCAATGAAGCGCTAAATAAGCTTCCTAAAACTTATTTTTTGGAAAAATAAACTAATTTTATACTAATATTTTACAAAGTTGTCCAAATCACGGCTGAAAAAGTTTTGACATGATATTCAGACGATTAATGAAGTTAACTTATCAAAAACAAAATATGATTCTTTTGGTCATTTTATTTCCTCGATATAAGACCACAAATTGGACCAAAATCTCAAACCGGGTTGTATCGACACTGAAAAAACTTTTTGAAAAAAAATTAAATTCGTTCGATTTATGAGTGAAAGTTTTTTACGATGAAATATTACTCAACGCATTCCAATAGTTGTTTGCATTCCAAAAACATAAAACACATTCGAAAACAAAGTTCCTCCCCATTTTCAATGGTCGGAGTAACAAGGTGTGATTTATTTAAAAAGGGCCAGCCAAAGCTTTTAAGAGTCGATGAACGTAGTTCAGACTCTTATATAGGTCGAAAACTTTTTTTCAGGAAAATACTTAAAAATGTTCGGGCTTAAAATTATTTTATGGCGGTTTGACTTTTGAATAATTTCTTGGTTCAATTCAGTTTTCTGTTAAAAAGAAGGTAAAATCCACTATCGAACAACATCAAAATTGTAAAGGTCACGAAAAACTTAACCGGCTTCTAGTTTTGAATTGGGAATTTGAATTTCAGATTTTCGAGCGGAAAAAAAGTTTTCACTTAATGATCCAGTTTTATCAAATTGAGTTATTGTTATCAAAAAATTGGCAGTCATAATTTTTAATTATGAGATTTTTTCAATAAAAAACAAGCCAGTATTTGTTCTGTTTACTTGCGGTCATCGACTCTTTTCCAACTGTCTGTTGGCTATGTTTTAAAAATTAAAAAAGTTTTAAGCTGGTAAGTATTTTTTTTCATCTCAAAAGATAGACATTTTTTCCCGTTTCCTTGAATTGGTCGACAATCGTTCAACTGCTTATAAGCAAAGTTTTCAATTTTTTTCTTTACATATGTCCAAAAGTTTGTATGTTTTTTTCGGAGCAGACTAGCAAGCAGTCAGCTGTGTGCCATCTTTAAATAAGTTCTTTTGCTTAGCATGCTCTGGCTTTGTTTTTGTGGAAAAATGGCCCTGTGGACAGCCTTCTAAAACCTGGATCATGCTTAGAAAAATTTCAATTCAAGGGCACGGTAATAAAATTTTTTAATTAATAAAAGATCGTGTGTTCGATCCCCAGCCTGGCCAATTACGTCTACAATAGTGGTACCACGTGAGAGTTGTAGACGCAAAATAACGGACTTGAGTCGCAAAAAAGAGCTTCGCTCAACAGAATAACTCAGTCTGGAATGTGGGGAAATATGAGAAACGGACTATGCTCAGACAGGTTGGATAGCCTTTCATAGATCCTCTGCTAATCACATAAACCAAAATTATTATTATTCTGATTTATATGAGTGACGATTAGCATGTGGCGATTATACTTCCAGCACGGGTAACTATTGTTGAATGCAGAACGATCGAGATAGGCGGCAAACGCTGACTTGGTGCTTTTCAATACAAAACTCTGATAGCCAGGTGCCCAGGTAGCCCAGAAAAAGTTCGCAGGTAGCCCAGAAAGTCCCAGAAGGACAATCGAAAATCTAGCATTGGGCTGGGTTTCCGTGCAATTTTAGTGCAAAAATTTGTGGCTCGGTTCTAGCAAGCACGCCAAGCTATCAGTCCGATTGCGTCATATCAGTTAAGTGTTACTCAGGGGCGGATCTAGGATTTTCTCGAGGGGGGGGGGGATTTTCAAAAAAAAATTCTAAAATTTTGACGACCTTTTTTTTTGTCGACCAAATTGATTTTTCGAGCTCTCCCAAAGCACTGTTTTGCCCCTATTGTAGCTAAATTTTCTGCGCCGCGGGCAAATTTTTGAAAAAACAATCAAAAAACCGTTTTTGGGCACTTTTTGAAAAATAAGTTCAAGAGAAATATATTCACACAAAAGTTGTTGGTAACCGATAAAAATAGGATCGAGAACTTGTTCTCCTTTACTGATCAAAATGAAAGTGGCCCTACCTTTTCGACAGCAGTTTCGAAGTCGTCTAGTAAAATATCATCGTGTATTTTCTCCACCAGTCGCTCAATTCGCTCGAACTTCTTCAGGTTGTAGTGAGATCGTCTCCTGATATTCGGGGTTATTTTGGGCGCAGCCAAATCCAGTAGTTCCGGCCTGGACTTAAAAACTATCCTGAGTAGCTGCGCCCGTGATTTTTCGTCCATTGACTGACTTTTTCAACAGTTCTTCTTCGGTTTTTAGACTAGTCACTATTAGAAAAATAAATCACCAATTAAGCATACAATTCAGCGGTTGTTGAAGCACGATTTTTTGATTTTTTCTTCATATCAAGCGAACAAATTTTTAAATATGTAGTTTTATCTCTCATTCAAACAGCTGAAGTTTGGTTTAAAATGAGAACTTTGAGCTGTACAAGCAGCCAAAATGTAAAACATGTACCACCTCCAGCTTGTATACTGATCAAAGCCGACTATTTTAACTCTTTACTAAATTATTCGGCTCCAGTTCTGTTCTAAGTACTATTAAGCAATTTAGATCACATATTAGAACAGCTAGCAAATGGCACAGTTGAATTTCAACTGATGATGTTCTTGTTCCCTCATCATCAGTATGATCCGCCATATTTCCCTCATGCCAAATTTAATTGGTTCTGTAAAGCTTTAGAAAACTATGCTTTTAGCCCAATCTGTCTCTCAAAATGTTTTGCTTTCAAACCGCCATCAAAAACGGTCGCTATGCATCACTTGTTACGCGTGAAATTAGTTATAACTCACCAATAAAATCACTTTTTTCATACGTTTTGACCGTAAGAAAAGGTTCTCAGTGCAACGTATAAGGCAAGTTGTAGTTTGCATAGAAATCTGGTGTGACAGTTTCTGTGTGTGAACAAAACTAACCTGTTGATTTCAGCCAATAATGTGGGGGATGATGAGCTATTAAGCAGTGGCAGTGGTATGTTACCTGTTCTTATCTAATCTCAAATAGATGGCCCACAAATATCTTCATTAATCTTAAGTGTGCTCTAGGTGTTTTCCCCCTGCGTCGGGTGCTTTTACTTTGCATCAACTTCGTAACTCCGAGAATATAGATGCAATATTAAATCTTATGGTATTATGAGTTTAAGTTTGAAGTCTTACTGCAGCTTTTTTTATTTCTGCTTCTTTTATTTCTTTGTTTTAGATAGTTATCGTTACTATGCTTTAGACATTTATGCTTTCTAATCATCGGTCGTTTTTTCGGATCTTGTTAACAATCCCCCCTTAGATTTGTAAAGAGGTACCAAATTCGTATATGCTTAGCTGATCAATTCTCTCTTTATAGGGGTGGGGGAGGGGGGGGGGGAGATTCGATACAAGGCAACAAGGGGGGGGGAGATTCGTTACAAGGTAACAAGGGGGGGGGGAATTGTTAACAAGATCAGTTTCTTCTTATCTCTCTCTATCTGGTCATATCCCATTTGCAATTTGGTCCAGGTTTACGTATAACATATAGCACCTTCAATCAACTACTTTCATGATATACATGTAATCTATCAGAAGGCCAACGAGAAGGACTCACATGACAATGTATGTTCTAGGCTTTTCTTGCTCTCTTCTGAGAAATAATCCATTTCTGAAACTGAGTTCTTGCTCTCACTTCATCACGACTTGTTCATAAAATATCATCAAAATTGCACGAGTGACAGTTTCGGTCAACACGGATGAGTTTTTGTTCAGTGTACTTACCCTAGGTGTTTGATATACTAGTTTAAGCATCTGTTTTTTTTTTATAATTATGGTTACCTGTTTGTTTATTTACTTGTCTAGGCGGAACCATAGCAGCCTCCCATCTCACCAACTTTTCCTCCCTTCGCAACGCGAGGAAGAAGAGCCAGGACATCTCAGCCGGCATGACCCTCACCCCGAATAGTGCCGGCCCCAATGAGATTGAATCTGGAGGACCAGATGCATCAGCCGTGCCCAACAACAACTCAGCCTCTTTCAAAAAGAAGGGTACACACAACATTCATTTCTACAAGTGCTCCTCTAAACCGCTCTCCTGCTGTTTTTAGCCCCATTATTTGGTGGTTAGTTTTCAACATTTAGTTAACACCGCGACTCACCGTGTTTCTCACAAACAGAAAATTATTTGACCTTTGGTTGTCAAATTTAGACCGTTTTTTTTCTAGCGATTGTTTTGTTTGCAGTGGATCAGGAAATAGGCTTCTTGAAGTCCACCATAAAGGCTGCCAGGGGACAGCGCAGGAGCCAGTACAAGAACAAGAACAAAACAGACCACGGAGGTAGGTGGCCTATTTTTTTTCGACCTGCCGTTAGAAAGCCACCTTTGAGGGGGTACCAGGCTTTCTCCGCAAGTGACTTTTCAGCTCGAGGTTCCTAATCATTGAGAGGCTCAGATGCACGTTTCTCCCTTTGGTCAGTTTGTAATTACACTGCGATCATCTTAGTGTATTATTACGAACCTTCTTTCTTTTTCACATAACTTGCAAATTAAAGTGTTCATCAAAAGTGTTCACTTATTTGGAAATTTCACTGTAGCATTAGACATTGCATAGCATCTGTTCTCTGCTTTTTGTGGCTAGTGTTTGTTAAGGAAAAAGCTTCCATGGCTGAGTGGTTAGTGAGTGAGACTCTTAATCTCTAAATCGAAGGTTCGTCTCTCATATGTTGCCTAGTTTTTGCAAATTGGATACTTATTTCTACATTTTTTATTGCATTTTATAGAGGTTCTTTTGTCGTGTTCTCGCTAGTATTTTTAAAACTATGTAATTAAACTATGACAAACTTATATCAAGCATCTGAAACTATACAAAACATACATTCAACTGATTTTTCAACACATTGTTGCAGTTTACGGCACTGCATGTAACTGGATATGCAAAAGCTTGAATGTTCTAGAAACAAAATAATCGGAATGATTTTCTAATCGAAAAAAAGTCACAGCTGTAGTATTTCTTATACTTCTTTCAATTTAGGCTCGATTTGTTTTTCTACTTTTTAGATTCATCTCCGATTGAATTAATTCTTTCAAGATCGGGCTCACTTTTTTCTATTGCTTTTGGCCGAGATATTGAAAACAAGTTTTTCGCCAATCAGATGGACTGGTTAATTATCCTACGTGAAAAGGAGACAACGCGACGAAAGAGCCCCCAATCTTTTTGCAATCCTTGCAAAAGATTTTACGTTTGTAAAAAACTATGGCAGGTACGAAACTGAGAAATTGCCTTGATAATTTCAATGTTTGATTTTAATTGCTAGGAAATCAAAAGGTTGCAAATCTTAATTTTATAAAAGTTATAAAAAATCAGTGAAAATGGAAGACAATCTGAAGGAAATTCGCCCAAATTTTTCCAATTTTTTCCCCACTCGCTCAGTCGAGTTCAAACATTTTCCTTGTGTTATTTATCACTATTTTTTCCTTTGAATAAAAAGTTTTTTATTAGGAATACCAGATTTGACAGCGGTAAGATTCTGATGTTTTTTTAAACTTTATAATGAAACTGCTTACCTCAGACTTTTTTTGGCTTATAAGACACTTTTTCAACCACTTTTAAATTTTTTTTTGAATTGTTCAATCAACCCTTTTATTTTATCTTTTAATACAAATAACAATTTAACTCTAGGTACAGATCGACTAAAATCATTGATCATAACTAGTAGGATGTCTATGCATCATTTATTTGCTACGAGAAAGAAAAAGTTCTTTCAGCGAGCACTGTTTCTTTCAGTTAACTACCTCAGAATATAATGAAAAACGTAATTTTTTTATTATAAAAAGTGCATATTTACCAACTATTAGGACGTTTATGGCTTATGTAATGTCTTGAAACAAGCAGACCACCCAACAAAAATAGTCGGTCGCTGTGCAAGTAGCACGGAATATTCCGATCACACTCGAAAAAAAAATACAAATAAGGTTTTTAAAAAAATTACAACTAGTTTTTGTGCATGATGTGATGATAAAAATATACAATGGCGCAGAAAACCCGTGAATAAGTTACAATTGACAAGACAACTGTTGTCTCCGAAAAGTGAATAAGAAACACGAAATGATAAGAAATCAGAAAATTGTTTCTAAAATTTTGGTGTTATCTCTCACTTTGCTCGCTCAAGATGGAATTAGGTTATTGTAGGAGTTATATTTTTTCGACCTAACTCACTTTAATTAGTGCCCAGCAATTGTGCCAATTCCCTGTATTTGTGTTCTGCGCTGATTAATTTTGACAATATAAGTGTCATGGGTGCCTGGAACTGCTTGTTTCTTTCCTACTGTTTTTATCCGCAAAAACTGTAGGGCAGTGATTCAAATTCCGCAGGTTGTTTTTTGCACGTATTTGCGGAATGCAGTTACCCTCTTTGCAAGCAACTAGCAATTATTTGTTACATAAACGTAGCAACTCAAAACTTCAGATTTTTTATTTTAGCGGGAAATTGACAAAAACACAGATTTTCAAAAAGTTTTTTATTGAGCTTAGCTGTTACCTAGTTGTCTACATTTAGTTAAAAACTGATATTTTGAGGTTTTTTGTAATGCCAATTTGGTCGTTTAGATTGTTGCTTGTTCCATTCATTACGTGCTTCTGAACGATGTAAGTGTTCACTAAAAAAATGTCGCGTGGTCTTTTTTTCGCGCTCATTTTTCCTTTCGATGGTTTTTGATTATATTTTTTGAAGCTTGTTTCAAAACTCACTTAACAACTGGGAGACCAAATATGCCCATCTGAAAATCCTCAAAAGCTAACAAGGATAGCCAGTTACTGTGCAAGTAGCACAGAATGTTCTGACCCTAGTCTTAAAAACTAGTTTTTTTTTCTAAGTAAGTGTAGTTTTTTTTCTGCGTGGTGTGATGAAAGGATCTGAAAGAAGAAATAAAACTTAGACATGATCGACAGTCATAGTAATCTAAGCAAACAGAACAACATTTTTTGGGTAAAAACGCCCAGAAAAACAAAAAATATATAAAACTATTTAAAAAATAAACAATTTTTTTTTTTTTTCAATTTTTTTTTTGCAAAAACTTTTGATTCCCGTTAAAAAAATTCACAAAAACTAACCTAATTTGAATAAAAACTAAGTTTTCACGGCTCGAATTAAGCATAATTAAGTTATTGTAAGCTTGCTCGTTCGCTTTATTCGCTCTTATTTAGACTAAAAGTCAAATATTATAAACCTGTTTCTCTCATTACTGGGACAAAATTTTGGAAACGAATTACGAAGACGAGTTACGACTGGAATTGATTTTTTATGGTTTATCTATCAACGCAATTTATGGTACCTGATTTTGCGTGGAAAACAAGAAAAAGAAGAAAAACACAGCCGAATACAAAGTTCCTATCCATTTTCAATGGTCGGATCAGAAAAAATAATATTTGACTCTTAGTACCAAAAAAGATAGTAACTTTCAGATTCCCCAGCATAATTAGAAATTTCGTTTTAATCTGTTTTTTTTTAAGTTGTGAGTTTTATTAACAAAATTTTCGATCTTGACGTTCTTAGGACTATAATTTGATGGTCCATGAAAAGTGAAATTAGGGAAATTTTCAATGAAAAATCATACTATAATTAATTTTTAACGTCAATTTTTCATTTGCTTAATTTTCATAATCTTAACCATCACTAGCAAATAGATATAACCATTACTAGCACTTAGGGCAAATATCTGTGACTTTCAGGTGCATCGACTGATGACGATTTGGATGCAGATCCAGACCAGAACCACGTCAGTTTCAGTTCGAATATTAACAGTTTTTCATTTTGTTCAAGGGCGGATTCGACCCCCTGCCGACCCAAAGGGTCCCCCCTTTAGTACTTTTTAAGAAATCCATTTTTGGCCAACCGACCCTAAAATTTTTCTAAAGGCGCCTTGGGCGCCAATATATCTTAATTTTGAGGGGGAGCGCGCGCCAAAAAAACGCGATTTTTTTGGTCAAAGTTTTTCCAAAAATGGCCAAAAACGGCTTTTTTGACCTGTTTTTCAAAAATTTGCCTGCGGCGCAGAAAATTTGGCCAAAACAGCGTCTTTTTACTGCTTGAGGAGAGCTCGGAAAAATCAATTTCATCGACCTAAAAAATAATGGTCGTCAAAGTTTTCGAAAGTTTTTTGAAAATCCGCCCCCTCGAGAAAATCCTAGACTCGCCACTGATTTTGAGCATAGGTCTGTGGCTGTTTCAGCGAAAAAGCGTTGTGGAGAACTGCCATGGAGAGGTGAATGCAAAACCTTTGAAATCCATTCTGAGGTGAGTAAATCGAAACTGAATGTTTATTTTTTTATATTTTTGTTTGTTTTTCATAATAATAAAAACTTGCGTAAATGAGGCCGAAGATGAAATTGAAATTGAAACTGTCCATTCAAAACTACGAGCACATTTACATCAGAGTAATTCTTTGTTTGGCACTTCAGCTGGAAAGGGAACTATGTATACGTTAAGACATGAAACATTTTGGCAGCTGTTCGTTCATGTTAATGCAGGGACTCAACCTGCAAGAGCAGCGAGGACGAAGGAGGCAGTGATTTAGTGCCAAGTGGCAGTGTATCTAATAAGCCACCAGTAGTGTCTGCATCTGGGTCTGGAAAACTGACTCTGGCCATGAGGAGACTGTCCGAACAGCTCAGCCCCAACTACTCACTCAGCAGCAGCAGACTGGGCGCCGGAATATACACCAAAATACCCACCACTGGTAACCAAACTGATCCTGGCTCACTATTTTACACGCTTCTGAAGTTAAACTTTTGTTTTAAAGCTCCAAAAATGCTTCAAATGTTCTACTGTTTTTTTCTGGGAGGTATCTTCTACCTCGCAGGAAAAATATCAAAAGCATCCCAGACTTACGAGTTTTTTTATGTACCGACCAGCGCAAATATGGAGGAACTTTGGGTTAAGTTCAAATTCAGGTAGCACAGATGAACTTCAAATGGCGTGGGGTGGTATGCCTCATCGAAACCCTTTCCGTCGTGATTCCAATTCCAAAAAAATTATGAAGTTTTCAAGACAAAATGTTCAAATATAGCAGAAATTCGCTCTTTTTGTTCTCTCAATAACCTTCAAATTTTTTCTATCTGCATTAAAATAAGCCATATTCGGACATTTGTATTGCCAATTACTTAAATCGTTGACTTTTCAAGTTGTTTATTAGCCTTTGAGTGTGTTAACGCCTTCAAGGATCCACCCTGGAAGGTAAGCCTAAAAAAGGCTTAAAAAAGTTTTAGGTTCTAAGTTGAACGATAAGAAAACGTATCGCTTATCCTAAAAATTATGTTGCGCATTGGGACAAAACACATAGTGAGGACTTGGTATATGATTGTATTGAAATGGAGGATATGAAAAGCCGAATATTGAAAATAAAATTGTACAACAGTAAGGACACCGCTATTGTTAACAATCCTCCTGATTTGGAATGTGATGATAACTTAACTGAGATTAATTGAGCTTTTGTGTGTGGCGAACTTCACTTTTATGTAAACATTAGGGACATCAAAGCTTGTCATTATCTGGGTTCGACGTTAGAATCTGCCATTATTGTAAAAGTTATCTACTTTCATCCAAAAAACTTCACATGGAGATCAAAAAGGCAACTTTTCAACGTGAAAGGCAACAAAGATAAGTCTATTTATTTGACTGAGAGCCTTGCCCCTTTTAGCCGAGAACTTTTTTGACAGCTCGGGACAAGGGAACTGAAACAGTGACTAATAATGGCAAAGTACAATTGGTTGTTCCAGATGATAAGGGTAGAGTTACGTTTCGTCCTCTTTATTCGAAGAAGGATATTGATCAACTTGAAAAAGTTGCCCTCAAAGTGAAATATTGACCTTCTACTGGACCTGGTTCAATTTTGAATACCAATGACGCTCATAACTCTGATTATAATGCATTGTTATAACATGATGAAAGAAAACGGCATGCTAATTTTTCTACGAGCTTCTCACCTGCAGGAAAAACAATTAACTGCAATCAATAGTTGATGCTCAATCACTTTGACTTCTTTCTTAAGACTTTTTTTGCCGACATTTAAAAAAATTTTAAATGAACAAATTCCATCAAAAAATGCAACAAACTAGACTTTCTCTCCCTGAAAATAGGATCTCTCTCAGAAAATCTGGATAATTTTTCATGCTATTTGGAGAAACAGACTGTTGAAACAGAATTTTGTAGTTTTACCGGCATCAATGCCTCTTGCAAAATCTTTCGAAAACAAAGCATTCGGTTATGGAGATTTTGTTATAAAACATAGGTGCCACAAAATTGACCTCACTTTTCATTGAGTTTCTTTGAAGACTTTGAGAAGCTACTTGACACTTTGGCGAATAAAAATAATGAATTCTAGGAAAAGGGAGATTTTATTATTGACAATAAACTAGAGAGTAAGATTACGCGAAACTTTTTTTTAATTTTCATTGATCATGCGGGTTTGCCTCAATTTAAATGCAATGTACCAACGCGAATCGGACAGACTCGAGATAGCTCCCTTGACCATGTTATCACCAACTGTGATTTTATTGATTAAATTGCGTATAATCTACCCTGCGATATAACGGATTACTACGTATTTTCTCATGTCACCACTAATGTTTTGTCACCAAGGAAAGTCTTGACAACTTGGGCTTTAGCTAGGTTTGGGAAAACCTCGCATGTCGATACAGTTTCCAAATTTTAATTCAAACTTCAAATAGCTTTGACAAACTTGATTGAGTTCTAATGTAACAAAAGACTTTGCAAATCAGCTTTGCAAACCGCTTCTGATTTGCGTTTTCCCATTCATGAATGTTGTACCAAAAAAGAACTCTCACGAAACCCTTGCCTTAGTAGTTCATTTTAAAATCTTGTTCGTAAAAGACCGAAGTTTCACAAACAGTACACGTTAACCAAAAAACTGACGAGCATAAGTGCTGCAAATATGTGCGTAACTGAACAAATAAATTTATTGCGGTATCAAAAAACAAAAAATCAGCAAGAAAACCTTCAGGAGCTGCTAAAAGATAAGATCAAAGAATTTCACAAATTCATCAAACGACATCGAGAACCCAATTTAAAAACTCGTTAGTGCAAGCTCGATGCGAATTAGACTAACGTTCATTTTCCAGGTCTTGGAATTTATGACAAATAGATAATTGATTCGATTTTTTCCATGAACCTGCCGGGTTTGCAAAATTCAGTATTTTTCCCCATTAGACACTACTGAAGTTTTCAAGTTAATTAATTAATTTAAAAATTCAAGCTCAGTAAGTGTTGTTAGAGTTAACAACACAGTTTTAATGATTTCATTCCCTGTGGTGTCAGAATATTTATGCATTTTTTAAATAACTGTTTCAGTGAAAAATTTCTCCCAAGTTCATTTGAATTGCAAAAGTTTTATTCATTTATATAAGTTTCTGGTATTGTGAGGATGATGTCACTTTTTTGTTCTATTTCTCAGTCGATTTCTGCGGAAAATATTATCATCTAGGTTAATGTTTTCATTTGGCAAAAACCAAAGATTGTGCAATTTTCAATTTGGTTTCAGAAAATATTGCTCATCAAAACAAGCAGTTTTGAAGTCGACTGAATCAATTAGGAAGAATATTGACAATCGATACAAAGTTTGCGGTGTAATTGTTGGTTTAAATAAAGCTTTTGATACCGTCAATCATAGGAAGCTATGTTAAGCAAAGAATTTGCTATATTTTTTTCAAATCGTGTTTAACCGAAAACAAAACAATTTATGACTATAGGAAAAAAACTTCTAGAATGTCACATGGTTGCATAGGAGTTCGTCAGCGCTTATTGTTTGCTTCTATCCTTTTTACTCTACATTAAGGATATGACTACATTTTTTGGTACCAACCCGTACCGAACTTTTTGGCCATAATCATATCTGATCATTGTAAAATCATGCAAAATTCATGTCTGTAACAGATGTGCAGCATGTCTATATTCGGCATGCACATACCTGCATCAGACCTGCATCAGGTGTGCTAACTGAAGATATGCTCACACCTGCAGCATACACGATCATGCCTGAACTGAACATGCTCACACCTGCAGGATACATGATCATACCTGAACTAAACATGCTCACACCTGCAGGATACATGATCATACCTTAACTAAACATGCTCACACCTGCAGGATACATTATCATACCTGAACTAAACATGCTCACATCTGCAGGATACATGACCATGCCTGAACCGAATATGCTCAAATCGGTATCTTCAGTATTAAAAGATAATTAAAGAAATGGTTAAATTGTAACAACATCATAAACTCAGCTTGATAATGTGACACTTTACTTCAAATTTTTAGTTTTTTTTCAGATTTTTTCTGACATCGGTGAAGTTTTTTGTTGAAAATATACTGTAGTGGTTAGATGCATCTTTCTTTAATTGCAAGCAGGGAGTCGTTGGTAGCGGGGCGTGTGGATACTTTTCTCTGTTTCCTGTCAACATAAAACTAATTGTTAGTCAAAACTTCATCACTTTGAATAAATGCTTAACAAATAAAACTAGACAAAAATCATGCGTTAAAAAGTAGTCGCATATTTGTTGTTAATTTATTCAATGAGATTAATAGTTTCAACCATTCAAATCTTTTTAATTTATTCGCAATTATTGTGGCTACTGGTTCGCGAAAATTGAAAGATTATTGGCCAAAAAATTTTGTGACGAATTGCTTCAATTCAATGCTTTATAGTTCAAACCGGGGATTCTTAGTTTTTCGACTATCCCTCCCGTTGACCCCTCGAAACTAACCTGACTTCCTCTTTTTTGGGATGTAGATGCGACATAATTTTCTTCATTTGAAGATATTTGACTCGAGGAGGTAAATTTGGATAAGCTCATTTCAAACAAAATCTGAAAAAGTGAATTTTTAACAACAAAGACCAATTAGTCAAGATACGAAGTAATGTATAAATAAATATGAGTTTGTCAAGTTTTCAGTCAGTCGTTATCATGTCTGCGACAGGCATGAACATGTTTCACTCAGGTCTGATCATGTAAAATCCAGGTACGACCACGTCTGTAGAAAAATACGCATGCTCACTTGTGAACAGCCCTGCATTATGGGGGAACAGTCCTGAGAATATTCTCTCCCCTGCTAAATGGATGATCAGCCGTGAAATGGCACAAAAAGATCAGTACGGGAAAAGACTCAGTTGGAATATTTGCTTACAACAGCTGCATAGCGGTGTTTTCCAAGCAGGACACATCAGTTCTAACTCATATTCTTCACAAAACGAAATCGAAATTGCCCGGCAGCTTAAGCTTGTCACGTAAATTTTTGGGGTTACCTCTTGTTAACTGGTTAAAATCTAAAAAGCCTTGTGGAAGTTGTCGGCAACGGAATTTCAAAATTTATTAGTTGGCTTTTCAAAAAACTAATCAGGCCACTCTCAGAGACTACACCTCAATTTTTTTTTCTTGAATTCTTTACTAGAAAGAGGCATAAATGAGGAACGTAGAATATAATAGTTTCGGACAACTACATACAAGTTTTGGGTGATATTTTTGAAGTTTTTTCTCTTGAAAAAGTGATTGTCTTTTGGAGTTTGAAGTCTCTCTGTTATTAATTTTGAAAAAAGTATGTTTTGCATCTATTTTATTTTCTTGAAGTACATTTTTTTCTTCGTTCTCAGTGTTCCAAAAAACTGGTCTGAATTTTTTTTGTTTGGAATCAAATTTGGCGTCCAATTTAAGATGTTAAGTATACATCTTTAATGAACCTGACATGACTGCTCGTATCAGTGTAAAGTACTGAATGTTCTGACTGCATTTCAGTTGGTCTCGAATAGCTTCTGGTCAGTTAAGTTTTGGCAAAAATATGAACTTTAGGCTGATAATATCAAAGTTTAAGCGTTATATTTTAAGTCGTGTAAGGAATTAATGAGACTAATAAGCTGCCTCAACTCAATTTGAAATGACTCTGTAGTGCGGCATGATTCGCTACGATTAAAGTATAAAACGAGCAGCTTTGACAGACATTAGGCAGATTACTATAGGGGTGTGCAAACACGGCTGGGCCCATGCAGATCAAGGGATCGCTCCCCGAGGGAGGAAAGAGTTTTGTGAATCTGGTCTGAATAAAAAAACCACTCCGAGGATGTGTATTCCGCAATTCGGAACAATAAATCTGTTTCTTGAGTTTTGTCATTTTCTCAATTTTTTTTTCTTGAAATAATAACTGTGGTCGGAACATCTTTTCTACTTGCACAATAACCGGATACTATCGTTTTAACATCAATGTTTATGAAAGGGTGGATTATTGAAACTCAATTGTGTGGCCAAGACGCTTGCAGAACTGCTCTAATTAGGTTTTTGTCAAAGGTCGATTTGCGTCCAAATACTTTTAGCCGTTACCAGTTTCGGTGCACACTAGCAGTCATTGTTCGGTGCACACTAACTAAAACTGAAGCCAAAAACGAGCAGTGTTCGAACATTCTCCAAAGGCTCCTCGGCATATTAATGAAACTGTTTTTGAGTGAAAATGGCATAATAGTACAGATATTTTGAGCCGGTACAAAAAGCAGAAGTGTTTTTATAATGTCACAAAGTTAATTTTTTTTGTCGACGAAGTTAAATTTATTTAAAAAGTAAACGCTTTCTTGAACTATACAGTGATCGCTTTGCTGAAAAAGATGACACAAGAAAAGCATTATTTGAAAATTTTGTCCGCCCAAATTTCCAACCTAGCTTCTAATTATATGAGAAATTGGTTTGGGATTAAAGAGCTGGCAGACTATATTTCTGAACGACGAGTCAAGAATTTGCGTTTGGTACGTTTTCCGTGAGTTTCCAAGGACTCTTTTTTTGAGAATTGATGCGATGAGAATTCGCTTGCTTTTTGACGACACTGTGCAATGATTATTTGCTGGAATTATATTTTGTGTTTTGAAGTTTGTAAGTTGAGAGCGCATGAGAATGAATTTGACCGGCTTAGTTTAGAGAAGAATTTTGTTCAAATTGGCGTTTTTTGACAATTTAGGTTTATCGGCTTAGTTTTTGGTGCTAATAACTCTGGTTAAGCGTTCTAATTAATCGGAAAACATATACAATTTTTATATAAAGTTGAATTAAGAAGAAGTCTCATTATCACCGAGATAAGACGCAGTTGCATAGATGATATTTTTCGGGAATTAAATCAGTAATGGAATTACTTCGTATAACATTTACTTTTTCCGATTACCTCGAAGAAAAATTTAGACTTTTTAACTTTAACTACAATTTTTGACGGAATTTTTTTTATATCGTTCAAAAAATATTGTTGTCCTGAGCTCGAAATTATTTTACCTGTGATTATTTTTTTCCGACTTTTAAAGAAAGTGAGGATACTCGGGGAGTTTTTTTTTCAATTCAGACCAATTTTACAAAACTCTGGTCCTTTGGGTGATTGATCTCTTGATCTGCTTGAGCCCAGCCGTGAGTGCACTCCACTATAGCAACCTTCATCGAGACTTACTGAACGGCTCGTTTTATAAATTCCACGCCTGGCGAATTATTTCGAACTACAAAATAGTTCCAAATTGAATTGAGACAGCTAATTGGTTGTATTAATTCAATATACAACTCAAATTGTAACTCTTAAAAATTAATATGATCAACCAAAACATCATAGTTTTGCCCTGATACAAGCCATCTTGTTCATGAAGTTATGGGGGTTTAAAAAGTGCCAATTTGGGAAAATTAACGCGCGATATATTTAGTGCTATCAACGAGTAAGCGAAAATTTAATCCGTCTCATAAATTGTTCCAAATTGATATGAGGCATGCTATTTGGTCTGTTTGATGCTTGGCTTTATGCAAAATCTATCACTTTTTACTCACCTTAACCGTTGGGGGGGGGGGGTAATGTAAAAAACGCATTTAATATTTTTCCTTTTTTTTTTAATTTCACCCATTTTTAACAGCGAAACACTACTCCATAGGCCTCAAAATGCAGTGGAAACATTCAGAGCTTCCCCATAGTACGAGCAGTCTTGTTTGAGCTACCATCAGCGAGTTAAAACGATTTTATTATCATAGAACTCGTGCGTCCTTGAAATCAAAATGCAGAAGAACGTATTCCGCATTACTTAAACCTCGGGTTTAAACTTTATAGGGAGGGCTTGCTAGACGGTGGAATCCCTCATACGCGCAGGATCGAATGCGCGAAAATAAAAATCAGCTAATCAGATTTCAGTAATCTAAAATTTGGAAAGAAAGTAAACAGTTCCAGGGACAAATTTGCCGAATATAAAAGCAGCATTAATATGCAAAATTTTCAAATTGTCACTGACCGCCGCCAAATTGGAACAAATTTTATTTTTCAAGATCTTTGTTATGAAAGAAGTTAAATATTACTTCGATTAATTCATTTTAATTGAATGGCAATTGCTTCTTTTCAAAAATTGACTTTCGGCTTATTTTGTTTTAGGTCTTTCGCGCATGAGAATAGCCCCCTTGCTAGACATTTATGTATAAAACTTCATTTTTCATTGTCGGGGTTGGTGTTCAAATTTATCATGGGGTCCCAAAACACGTTAACTCAGATGCTTTTTATTACAAATCTGTGCGAAAACTGCTCCAAATAGTTATAAAAGGTTTTTTCAATTGAGTATATTTTTTTTACCTTTGAATAGATTTTTCTTATTTTGAATAAGTAAAAACAAAATTATCTAGCACTTCGGTTCACCTTCATAATCTCCAATTGTAGAGGGATGGGGGGGGGGGGGTGCTAAAATGACAGTAAATAAACCAGCTGAAGTATAAACCAACCGAAAATGCGTGGATTATATAAACCAGCCGAAAAATTACATTATATAAATGAAATTTACTTAGCTATCGGAAATGTTACATAATTGTTACATTACTATTGCATAACGCTTACATATTTCCTGGTTGATATTTCGGCTGGTTTTTATTTCGGCTGGTTTGTATAGCACCGGTAAAAATATGTCTAGACCAGACACGTTTATGAGAAACTTGTATAGAAGTTATATAACTGAGAACTAGTATGAATAGAGATCGATTGTTGGATATTATCTGTTTTTCAATTCTACCAATTTCAGAAGCTGTCGAGGACCAGATGGAGGAACAGAAGTCTCTTTTACATGAGCACCAGGTGATAAAACACACACCAAGTGTGCCACTCCCAACACCCACCAATGTCAGTCGAAGCTCCTCTCTGAAGGGAATCCTCTCCTCTACCAAATCACCCCTCACCCCAACCAAGAACCGCCAATCTTCAGGCCACACTCCAAAGTCACTCAGTTTCAAAAGGAGCTTCAAGGGTGCCAAAGTCAAGAACAAAACCGATAAACTAGCTAAGAACCCGTCTCCTAAAAAGATTCCCAAAATGCCCGGAGGAAAATGTAGTCTCCCACCGAACATGGTACCTGTGGAACAGGATGACTCCTCCTATTCTGAAAGAAGACCCCCTCCGCTGCCCCGATTCGTACTGAACCCTAGCAGGCTGATTGATAATGTAGTGGACCCAGCTGCTAAAGGTAAAATTTAAAAGAAGACCCAGTATGTACTTCAAAATTACCAATCAAAAATAAAGATTACTGTAACACAAAAATTTTGGACTCAAGTTTTACCCAAATTGACCAGTTTTGTATTTAGCGGACTCCTTGAAAATGCATCGGAAGAGTAAGTTTTGGAAAGCTTGCTTTTATATTAGCCAATATGTCCGTTAAAGTTTTTTGACTTAATTAATTCTCGAGAAAAAGCCTTTTCCTGCTAACTTCTCCTCAGAGTTTAAATTCATGAAGTACACTTAATTTAGACTACCATCACTACTAAGCTTTCCGTATTATGTAGATCATAAGGCCTAATCAACAATATTAAGTTCAGCTTGGATCACATCAGTGGTAACGCTTCATTTTTTAACTAATAAATTGACACGCTATGTTTAGGTATCAGTTTATAAGTCAAGGCCATGAACAAATAAAACCCTGATATTATGGGGGAAATCTGATATTTTGACAAAACTTTTTGCCTGAAAGCTTGTTCATAAAAGCATTTCAGTCGAATAGGGCTGGCCGATCTTAAATCATTTCATTTTGATACGCCAAATTATAGGCTTAGTATAACAAAATGGATCCGCATTAGGAGAGTTATTTCTCGTGCTCTTTTGCTCTCCATCCTGTTCCAGTTCACTTAATTGTGTCACGTGGTGTCACTTGTGTAGAGATGGGCGGTGCCGGAGGGGGGAGGAAGGCGTCTATTGCGGAGAGTGTGTGCACAATTGAGGATGTGGAGAACTACAGTGAACTTCCTCTCACAGGGGGAGCCCTCCCCCCACGACCCATCATGCGGCTGCTACAAGTTAGTACCTCGTAAGCTTATAGGGTGGGGGCGCAAAAGCAGCAGGGCCTTGTTTGTTCATTATTAAGATTATTAATTTGGGGAAAATCGAACAAGTTTCCCCTGATGTGCAGCACTTTCAGCTTGATTTTCTGCACTGAGAATTGTTGTGTTGGCCCTCACTGAAGCAACCAGTTTTCTCCTTTTCTATCCTCTGTGAGCTTCAATTTATTTGAATGAAAGTAATTTGCTGAATTCAACGATAATGCTTAATAGCATCTCCACATGTGAAACTTTACATGATCAATTTACACCATTATTATTTTTTTAAACTCGTTAACTTGTGTCATCGGCATGTAATCGGGTATCCAGGTTGTCATGAACATAAAAATTACGGGTCTTATGCAATAAACGGTCCGAAATTATTAATTCAAAATAGACAATCAAAATCAAGCAACACAGTCAGGCATTTCTATCAACATTTTCAGCAGATAAAAGGATTCGCCAAAAATACAAATTGTGGAACTTTCTCAAATAATCAAAATAAGTTCAAGTCACTTGTGAAGCTTTGCCCTGACAAAAAAGTACAATGTCTTCAACAGAACAAAATTTCTATATGTTCGGTTATTTCGGCTAATAAATTCATCTACTTGAAGTTTAATTGAAGTGCCGGACCTGTCTATCCAATCAGACTCAACGCCATAAGAATTTTACGGTCACAAATACTGATTTTGGGCCGTTAAGTGCATGAGACCCAAAAATACAAAATTTAGAATCTGATCATGTTCAAATATCAAATCAAAATCAGACTGGGACATTTTTCGTATTTCATTCGGGTGTTAATGTTGAAATAAAATTCTTAATCAAATCTTATATTTGCAGGCCAAAAAGTCTGGAATTACTGGAAACTTTGGCTCTCGCCGATCTAGTCAGGAATCGGGCATGCAAGGGGGCCTGAAACTAGCACCGCTGCAACACATGGAGTCCCTGGAAGAGTGGTCCTCGGGTGAGAGTATGGCCATGTTTAATAACTTCGGCGCTGATTCGGTCAGCAACCTCGCGAATGTTGCTGGCAAGCGAAAGTGGTCGGCTGGAAGCTTCGTGGCGCCTGGCTCTCAATCCGGAGGCCGGATATCCCTATCCTCAAAGCTCAATCGAAGTAACCCAGACCCAAATAACTTGATGACTAGAACCAAACTGAGCAAGGATACTAGTGTACCAAATTTTGCAACCGCCATGCTGGAGGAAAACTTGAACAATGGGGAAGAAGGGGCTAGGGGCAATTCACGACCTGTATCTGTGGTAATTGAGATGGAGTCACTTATGAACAAAGACTCAAACTCAACTAAAGTCTAAAAACTCCGCTTACGTCTAAACGCATTTTCGTCTTCAGTACCAGATGATAACTAGATATCACTAACTTCAGCAATATGATTAATGCAATGCAAAACACTAAATGTAAGAATGCAAATATGGGCCAAAATAATAGATTACAATTGTCAGATAAAATTGAAATAGCATGAAATTGTTTTTGACTTCCCTGAAAGATACTGTTTTTTTTTAGTACACACAAATAACTGGCCCAGGGCTTCTCAATAATTTTTTTCTCAAGATCATAAATTATTCTTTTTTTGTTCAACTAGTTCAGTTCACGTTTATATCGTGGTACAATCAGTTATTTTGCCAGAAATCTGGAAATAAACTATTCATATTCGAACAAACTACAACAGCTAACATATATCATAAAATTGATTGCACAATAAAAACTCACAATAGAACATAGATTGCACAATAGAATTGTTTGCTCAATAAAAAATCACAATAGAACATTGATTGCACAATAGAAGTGAATGAACAATAAACTGTTTGATCAAAAATCAATTAGTTGCAATGAAAATATGTTGAACATAAATATACTGCAATAAATGTCAATGCTTCATTTCCCTGAGTTTATCGCTCGGGGAAGGCTCTCCTCTGTCCAGAATGACTCGCTCAGTTTCAAAAACAGCTGCATCTCTAAATTTTGCTGCGACAGACTTTGTAAATTGTTAAAAGAATGTTCTGCTCCTGAGAAAAATCTCTCGATCAGGTGAGATGTGAACTTTGTTTTGATGAAACTGCTTTTAATAGTTGTTTTGAGGCAACCAATAATTGCTTTCTCGCAATCAATTAATTGCAATTTTCTCTGTTAACAATCAATACATTCCGCCTAAAACATTGACAAATGGTTGCAATTAATTTTTGAGAGGCCCTGAACACTGACCCGGAAAGATTTGAAACCTGAGGAATGAGCACAAATTAGTAAAAAGAAATTATGTTAGTTGCTTCTTATTCTTCGAGAAAGCCTGTGAAAGCAGTGACGGCAAAAATAAGCCAAAAACACGAGCCGGATACCCAACTAGAAGGTCATGCTACTTTTTTTGTCGCTTGTTGCTGGTGAAGGGTGTAAATGCAAACATCCGAGTTTAGATAATAGTTACTTAATTGTAACACTTCAAAATCTCCCAACATAGCTGTCTTAAAGCTCAAGTTTCCATTTCAAATAATCACTGCACTTTGCTATAACTTGATTTTAAAGAATTCCTGGAAACTTTCGCTGGAAAAAGTTCAATAGAATTATCAGCTGCATTTGTGATCATTTTTGCCCTAATTTGTGATCATTTTTGGATATTTGGACTGGTGAAGTTGTTTTTCGGGTGCTTGCTCTTTTCTGAACTTTTCGGATGTTTGAACCATCTAATGTTTCCCCGGCACTCCTGGTGAACACTCCGGCTACTGACTCGTTGCCTACAAAATCTTCTTAAACTGGATATAATTTTTTTATATAGTTGACCTATTCGGGTGAAAGCAGTTTAAATTCAGAAATCAGAAATATTGCTTTATGGACGGAATAAGTATGAAGACTCCTCTAACCTAATGTAGTGTTTTTTGTTCAGAAACTGTCGATGCCTTATTCATATTTTAACAATGAAATAAAACAATTTTTTGATGAATCTGGAACCTGATCTAAACTATATTTTATAATTGGATAAATTGGATATTTTACCACTGTAAAATATTTAATATTAAACAATCATAATCCATCTAACTAACAACCCACTTATTTATAAGTGCTGAAATTACTTGTAATTTCAGCACCAGAGAGATTTGAATTTAACTTAGAAATTAGTTGCCTCTCCAAGAGAACTTCAGCAGTTGCAATAAGCCAGTATACTCTAGATCTATTGAGCCTAGCAGAGACTAGTTAAACACCCTGAGACTAGTAGATATAAGAGTAGGATTAGGATCGGTATTAGACTAAGAAGTTGCACGAATCTATCCGGCCGAAAATAAGATAGCGTGACGAGCAGACGGTGCACCCTATCCGAAATTACTCTATGAGTTAACCACTTCGGTCATAACTCATCTGGTGCGACCATAAGTCTCGAATAAGACCTTAATAGCTTAGAATTAACCAAAAATAGATTAGAATTTAGACAAAATATTTTCAAAATGTTACACGATAAAAACTTAATTGAAATGTCTCTACGACTCAATAGATCAGAGCCGATATTCCGAACGATACTAGAACTACCCGGTATTGGAAGAAGACTTCGGACAAGAGACGATATACGACTACGTAGAAACTTACCATTTAGTTTTATGGCTGTACGGCAAAAGCCAACACAAACTTTAATATTTAAAATCTTATTAGCAATGAATTTAGATTTTCATTTGCAAGCATAAAATTTTGAAGTAAATCTTCATGATTATTTCAGGCGCTAAACAAAAATATTACTGTACAATAACGATTGATAAAAATATCTCAGATCGTTTTCCTAATTTCCGCAGTATTATATAAAACATATTTGAAAAATATTTATTGAAAATAAAAATAAAAATTAGTAGCATGACAATCAATAGTTAGCAATCATAAATCATTTTGTTGTTCCAGCTTCATCACCTAAACATAACAGCAATCATAAGCTCACTAATATCATTAAAAAACTAAATCTTTTTATTAAATAAATTTAAACCATTTTAAACTTAAATTCACTTAACTTAAAAATCAGATCATCAAGGCTTATCCTTGGATCTTTATAAATTTTCTATTTCACTAAATTTAAAACCTGATCATCAAGGCCTATCCTTGGATCAAAAAGAACAATTTTGTTCTCCCCCACCCACTTAGCAAGTGTCTAACGACCTCAAACGTCGATTCACTATCCAACCTTTTCAAAAGACCCAGGACTAATAGAAATTTTTCAATAAAACTAACCATTCAAATTAAGATGAACAGTGAAGAACTTCGGTTTTTCATCCTTCACTTTAAACCTCCTCTTACCAGACCCAGGATAGATCTTAGACTTAGTAAGTTTAAAATAGTATCTAACGAACTGCTTGCGTTCTAATTATACCTGAACCTTGTGGATCGATTTACTATTCTCCAACACTTGAACACAATCACTACCCCTAAGTAAGACTAAGTAAGTTAACACCTTAACTTAGACTAGCCACGAGAAAGTAGAAAATCCTTCTCCGGAATCAATATACTTTTCTCTCCAACCCTGAACAAAAATACCCAGGTTAAGCTAACCAAAAAATCGTAAGGACTAACAGTCTAGGAAAATAAAAATAACTAACAACTTCTTGCATCCCTCATCCTAAACCTCATGTCATTCAAAAGTTTAGGAAATAAACAAACAATCGTTTTACACAATTGTGAAATAGATAACCAAAAATACGATCTTGTAATCACTCCACATACACAAACAGTTGGATACATCCGAACAAAACGACAAACAATAAAAACAAAAATTATAAACAAACAAAGACAAATCACACGAAAAAGATTTTCAAAAAATAGAAACGCATTTTCTGAATCAGAAGCCAACAGTTTAGACGAAGTATACAAAATAAAAGAATCAATAGATAAAAATTGTCCCATTCATGATCAATTATATTTTTCCGACTCAGAAACAACTTCAAATTCATCAAAAAGAGGAAAAAGAAGAATAAAAAAGCAATAAAAACACAAACCAGTACACCTGTATAACTGGAATCAACCAATTAGACACCTTGATAGTTAGATATTAACAGTCATCAAACGAAAAAATGAGCCACACTCAATATGACGAAAGTCCAGATGAAGAAGCAGTTTTTCCCTTTCTTATAGATTCACTCGATGATAGAGGACAAACACGATTTTGTCAGAACTTACTCATAAATTTGTTTGAACCAGGAATCAGCCCATGCAAAGCAGAATTCCCAGATGTAAAAATCAAAAGACAAACTATTGAACATTATTTAAAAGACATATGTAATCTAACACAACAATATGGTATTTACACCATAGAATTCAGCACACCAAACACAGCCCATCGTAAATATGTAATTCAAACAGACGATATTGAACTAGAATTTTCAAAAGTATTCATAGAGTATATCAAAAGCATACAATATCATAATTCAAAAAGAGCAAACTCCATATTCACTAACGAAGTTTTTGCAGTAATATATAGTTATATATCTATATTAGAAAAAACAGAAGTTCAAAGTATATCACCAAACGAAACATCAAAACATACAAAAGTACGAAATGAAATCACAGTCTTTTCAACATTTCTACATATAATTTGCGAAAATTTTACAAAATAAGATGTTTCACAAAACAATAAACATGATTTACAAAAGATATTTGCATGGTTTATAATTCACCCACAATTTAGATTTATTTTCACAAGCAAGAAAAAATTTCAGACCTCAAAATACCAATGACGACACTGTTCTTTCAGAACAATCAGATTACGTTTGGGACCCTGACTGGTCTCATCCAGCATTTTTAAATATCCCCCAAGCTATCTCGAGTCAAGCAATAAGTACAATATCTTTTCACAGAGATTATGTAAAAGTAGTACCATTAACCATTGATGCAACACCATTGAATTATAATACATTTCTACCTGATACACGAAATAACAGCTTAAATTCAACAGTCATACATAATGAAAACCTCAATGGAACCAGAAATTTTACACAACAAGATATTCAAACACCTTCACACTTCATAAATGAAGAAATCGTCCAAACAACAGCAACAACTACACAACAGAGTGTTTCACCAATACACCCCAATCTGACAACACCAAGAAATACAAATACATCACTAACACAGGTAACCTTACAATCAACCGTCAAACCTTCAGTTGCTCCAAAATATTCACATATGGACTATCAAACGTATAGACCAATGACAATACCGTCAAAAACACGAAAACCGTTTACAAGAAACACTTTTGCAGAACACAGTTATAATTATGCTCACCAACCAAGAACAAACCAACCTCCCCAAAAAAATACACAAAATTTAAATCACGTATGTTCCCATTATTGGAATCTCCCAAAAACATCGACCAATTCAGTAAATTTTCCAGATAATCCACAACTTACACAGGATTATAGTGAAAATTACCCATTCTTTCAACAAAATAAAAATAAACAACATACACCATATAATACAAACTATTTATCATCTGACGAAGATGA